GGGTTAGACACCTTCACTGACTGATCTGACAGTTGCCCAGTCTCTCCAGGCCTGGAGGACAGTGGGTTCAGCCCAACACCCAAACAAGAATGCCAAAATTTGACCATTTCTTCCCTGTTCTCAGGGGGGCTACTTTTGAGCTCTAGTCATATTGACAAATGGTAAAAGAACACAAACATCTACTGTCATTCCCATCACCAATTGGAACTCTTCCCCTGCACCCACCTTCAGTTCTGGGGATTGAACCTAGGGATGCTTTACAAGTGACTGAAGCCACCCAGCCCTTTTTTTTGAGACAGAGTCTCACTGAGTTGCCCAGGCTGACCTTAAACTTGTGATCGTCCTAAATGACTAAATCACAGCTATTACCACACACTGCTGCCAACCTAAACTTTTAGTTGGCATCTTTCTAGCTTCTTGGGGCGGCAGGTGGTGGGGTGGGAAGGCTAACCCCACTCTAAGCCCTCTTGAGATGGAATTCCTTCTCCCAAGCAAGGCTTTTGACCATCCTTATCCCTCCCTCCTGTGTCCAGGGAATTCTGCTAAATGTTCTAATTTTACAGGGACCATTTACAAAGGTCCATGTAACTTAATTGTAAGAAATAGCACAAAAAAGCTCCCATTTTCCTACTGTTTGCCCACAAGAAGTCCTTGTGTCCTCTCTGCCACTGCTATCAAGTAAACCTTTCTGCAGCAGGAATATTCTGTATCTGTGCTGACCTTAAAATGTGGCTATTGAGAAGTCTAGTTTTAGTTTTATTTAATTTTAATGACTAAACAGCCTCATATGGCTAATGGCTAGCATACGGAACAGTGCAGCTCTGCATATCCTTGTGACAGAGTTGGCACTAAGCCTGTCTCATGTTTTCCCAGCATCCTGTGTTATACCTCTCTGCTTAAAGCTGGTGGCTCGTACACCTGATCAGAATGGGCTTAGCAGCTTGGACCAGCCTGCTGTGTGCTCAGGCTCGGGAATGCTTTCATTAGGCTTTCATCTCCTAAGGTGGTGATAAAGGGAGCTTGTTTACTCCTCATTGGCTTACTACCTCCTCCGTCTGACATCTCAACCTTATTCTGCTTAGGGATGTTCATTGTGGCAAGTCTTTCCTCTTGCTGTTCATGCTGGCCAGCATAAATATACTGGTTAGGTATTTTTGAGCCCAATATACAGTCATAATTTTCCTCCCACAAAGAAGTAAGAGTTCCCAAGAACATGGGGTGCCACTTGCTTGTGAAAGTGTAGCAAAATTCCACCTGCATCTTCTTAGGGTCCCTGCTGGGCCCAAGAAGTAGTGACAGATTAACAGGATACAAATTCATTTACTACAAATTTTACATAGTACAAGAACTTTCATAAGTAAATGACCCAAAGAAGCAGTTACTTTTATACTCAATTAGAGTACTAAGTTGTCAAGAGGCAAATAAGATATGGGGGGAGTGGTTACATATAGTTATTTTAGTAAGAGCTGCACAGAATTCTCAGTCTTGACTTTCCATCTTGATGACAAGATGTACAGAAAGGACAGCTTCTATATAGGAATTTAATCTCTTTTTAAAAAACAGCATAAAGATCAGAGTGATCTTTTTGCATCTGCTGGTTTCAAAAGCCATTCGCTTAAATAGTTAAATGTTCCAGAGTGGTATATTTTTAATGCTCATTCTCACTAGAACTTTTTAAAATTTTTATTTTATATGCTAGATAAGAAGTTATGGGGGGCTGGGGTTGTGGCTCAGTGGTAGAGCGCTCGCCTAGCATGC